TTTCCAAAGATCCTCTGAAAATCCGATCTCTGGAATTTTTTCAAAAGTTGCTTCCGCTTGTGAAAAGTTCTGCTCAAGTCTTGGCTATTGAATAGCGAAAATCGCAGGTCTCTATCTCATTTCTATCAAAAGTTATTCAAAAAATGCCCACGGGTCTTGTATTTTGGGATGGATAGTAATTCTAATATATCTTTATACATCTTGCCAATCGTGCTTTGGTCGTGATTTCTGAGATCGCAATTCATAGATGGACGAGTACAGGATTTCTTGAGCACGAGTCAAGTATCAATGCAAGAACGAATATAATTATTTCTACTTGAATTTATATATTCTGATGTTGTCTGAATTATGAGAGAAATCTGCATCCAAGTCCATGGAAAAACCGATCCCTTTTGTCAATATATCAATCCTTTGTCCATGAAACGATTTTTTTTTCGCATTGGAATTATCATATCACCAAATCGAAAAATTTTAAAAGCTTGTTCGGTCAAAACCGATTGCAGATTCGTCTTCTCCATAGTCGATTATCTTGCGCGCGATAACTTTTGGATCGGGGTACTTCAGAAAAAAAGATTTGCTCCTGGTCCTGCTCAATTATTTTTGAAAAAGTCATTGCATGGGACCATAGTTAAAACGATGTCGAAAATTTTTTCTAAAGTATCCGGATCCAAAAGTTCTCGCGTTCAAGATAATCCACTATGGAAAAGAGGAATCTGCAATCGGTTTTGATTGAACAAGCTTTTAAAATTTGGTGATATGTCTAGAAAAACGTTAGGTAGTTTCGTTCTGGTAGATAGACTATAGTATTTCGAAAAGTACAGTATTTGAAACAAGTCGACAATAATTTTATATAAATGTTTGATTTTTCTTAAAGCTTATTTCTCTTCATTATCAAAATTTTTTTAAATGCTTGTTCATATCCACGAACAACTCATTGAAATCAATGTTTAATGAAGATCTCCAGCTATACAAAACAGCTTATATTGTCTATTAACGATATATAATTTCAAAAAGAATTTTTTTTGTTGTCAATAATGAAACATATAGCATCAATAGCTGATATTAAAATATCTCATTCTATAAACTAATAAAAAACATATAATCCAATTAACATCACATAGCGTCATCGTAATTCATACATAGTTCTCTTTCGTGACATAATCATGCATTTTAATTCCATTGGCATAAACTCTTAATTCACTCAGCACGAAAGGTTATTGTCTTAATTATTTGTAAAGTTTATCTCATTATCTTTAATTAAAATGACAAATAAATTGATATTGCAATAAACAAAATCATTATTTATCGTTTAACTATTGTTTGTATTGAGAAAAATAATATTTTCCATCTTATCAAACTAAAACTTATTTTCTAAACTGACGAACGAATGACTTTCCTATAATTTATTAGCTTTCTTTGACGAAAAAAACAAAACAAAAAAACAATTATATAAGAGAGCATTTAAATTTTCTATACCGTAACTATATGAAAAAAACATTTTACATTAGCTAAAAATGCAAACGTAAAAACTCGAAGAATTATTTTACACATGAAAATAACAAAATATAAACAAAAAAACCTACTAGCAAAAAATACAACAATGCTTACAGCAAGTAAAAAACAAATAAAAGATATACTGTTATATGGAATGAGTAGATGGAACAAAGTACGTTTGAAAAGTTGTTAGAATACGAAAACAACGTTTTTGATATTTTATTATTCAGAAAACAAATTTTTAAACTTAACTTTTTGGAATATATTAAGATACTACGAATCTACGATAATCTCGATAATGTGATCATTTTTGTCTCAGCTTTTAAAAACTATTATAAAGAGTCTAAAGAAAAACTCCAAGGATAACTAATGTCAAATTTTTGTTATTATTATGAGATGAAAAAAAAAAAAATGTGATAAACAATATATGTGTGACCAAAAGAAACAAAAATTTCCATTTCATTATCGTTTGATTGAAAACTAAGCATATGTGGAACAGTATGTATTTGATAATGAGTCATTTTTTACAATAATAATCAATCTAGGCTATAGTGTGAAAAAAAAAACAAAGTACAAAAAAGTTTCTTCAACATTTCTAATATTTTCATTCAGAATAAACAAAAAACAGAAAAATTCAATAAAAACAACATATGAAGTCATTAATCACTAAAAACGTTTTCTTTTTGTTTTTTTAATCTGAAAAATTAAAAATTAAAAATTAAAAATCCACAGAGAGTAAACTGGTGACGGGAAATAACATAAAAAATAAAACAGTTACATAAAATGAATAAGGAAGCAACTGAGCTTCGGACGGCATAAAAAGAGGAAAAATAAATAAATAAATTGTCGCATAGAATGGTCACAACGAAGTTGATGAAATACATTAAGCATACACAAGTGGACAATTATTTTAGTGGATGTGAAATAAATTCAATGAAGTAAAAACAACATATATATCTTAGAACGAGAATGAAAACAAGTGATCCTCTATGCATATAATAAATAAAATTAAACTAGGATTCTGTTGACTTTAAAGGTTGATTAATTAAAGAACGATGATAATTTCTTGTGGATGATGTGGGATTCTCTATTGTAGTTCTGTTTGACGTCGTATGATGATAATGATTTGATGGTATCATAGATGATGAAAAGTTGGAATTTGTATGGCTGGTGGTATCAGAGGGTATCAATCGTATCGCTTCCTTCGCTAATGATTCTTCATATTTAAATAATTCGGCCAAAGTAATGTCATGAGGCAAATATGTTCGGTGGTTACTGGGTGATATGCGGTTCGCACGTGCCAAACGAATGGAGGCTTCACTAAAATGCAGATAAGAAATTTAGTTGATTGATACGTTACATGGAAAATATTGGACTTAAAAATTCACTGAAGTTCATAATTTCGTTTATGTAACCCACAGAAGAGGTTGATAGACATCTACTAAAATTTAGTTTAGTTACAAGGATAGGCTTAGGTATGCATCAGTTACAACTAACTGCTAAAGTCTCAAACTGATACAATTAAAAACACCTGAAAGAATATAAAATAAGATTTTGTTAAACAAGAGGTACTGATATATTTGAAGCAAAAGCAAAATTCAAAAGCATAATAATTTAAATGAAACTTTATTCTTATTTACGGATTCAAAAAGGTCAGAAATTTTGCTTTTACCTATAAATTTTTTCTGACAGTTATGATCAGTTTTGATTATCAAATGTACGAGTTTTTAACTGTGACAGTTTTTAAGTTTAACAGTTCTGCAATTTTTATAATTACAGATAACCGTAACTGTTGCATGCCTAGACAGCCATAGTATAAGTCTGTACCTGGTAAATTTAAAAACAGATTTCTGTACCCTTCTACTATCATTTGTCAGTTCAAAGATGTTGATTGGTCATTAAGTAAAGCTAACACTGCACGCATGTAACAGCGAAAATTAAAGTATGCATTCATCTCAAGCCATTGCTTTTAATTATTAGAGAGAAAGCATGTTAGCCGCTTAAATTATGCTATGTTTGTACATGTTCTCTTAGTGTGCTGTGAGTATTAGAGAAATGTTAACCATTAAAATTGAGATCTCATTCAATAAGTAAACTAGGTTAAACATCATCGACCAAATGGATCGATCATTTGTCAGAAAATATTATATAATATTTCTTGATATTTATAGATAAAAAGTTAATGTGTAGGTTGTTTCATCTGATGATAATGAACTAATGTTCAGTTCAAGGAATGTAGTATATGCAATAGAGAGTAGCATAAATCATATTTTTTTATAACTTTTCTAAGTGAGATCATACCGTGTCCAACACATTATTTTATCATCGACGTTAAAATTAACCGTAGTTTATAGCTAACAAATGTTTCCATAAAATTCTGCCATTTAAAATGTGAAATTCTCAATGATTTTTTTCAATATACGTTTTAGAAACATAATAGCATAAAATTTGTTAGTAAAAGAAATTCATTTCAGAAATTTGGAATATAGCAAACATATACATATAAACATGCAAGGTGAATAAGCATGCGTATTATCATTCCATATTGAAGGCGTTATATAAACGCAAAATACGATCATGCATAATATTCTGTGTATCAGAATGTAATATTAACGTACATTTTATTCTGTTGTGGATGCTTTTTAGCCATCATATCCCATTTTTTATTTCGTTTTATTTTCATATCCATTGCACTACTTTACTAAAATTGATCTTCATTCATTTAACAAGAATCTACGCATAATTTCTATGGCGTCGTGAATGAAGTGAAGCAAAAAAGACAAATTTTTAGCAGTGTAGTAGTTTGTGCTTAACATCTCTTAACATTTAACCTTCGGTTATTTCACAATAAAAAATATTCAAAAGTAAATGTCTCTGTTTCTTTAATCAAATTCAGTGCATCCCAATTTGAATTATTTAAAGTAGTGCTTCTCTGAGTAAACTCATTCGGAATCTTTGATTTGTTTGATAGACACACGTGCAGTCAATTTTAACTATTCATATTTGAAATGAAACCTGATCAACTATTATATCATTTTAACAAGAGAGAACATTTTGTAAATGAAAAAAAACGTTCACTTTTTTTTTGTTAGTGATGTGTGATGTTTACTACTATTTCTTTGATGCTTTAACTTTCGGACATATGTGCACATTTTGAATACGTTGGTGTAAAAATACTGATAATGAGACTTGAGAAAAAATAACTCAAAAATCCTGTTCAGTATAGTATTTACTCTAGAATTATACTAAGAAAGACGCAAACAACACATTGTAATAATATACACTGTGAACAGCTCTTACCTTGATAATAGGGTTTCTCTTGCATGCTCGAATTGAGAAGCCGATTCTGTATGAAATTGTTGGGAATCTCTTACTAATTTATCTGTTTCGTCTAAAATAGATTGTTGTGATTTACTCAAACCTTGCATTTCCGATAAGTTTGTCGGCGTGGTTGATGGTAGTGATGTTGGATTTTTATTTTCACCGTTTCTCATTGAGGTTGTCATTGATGCACCCGATACGTAATAGGTTGTATAATGGGGAGTGTTTTGTGTAGTCGTTGTGGATGGATTGGTATAATTGAAACTATTATTATTATTATTATTATAACTCGGATAACGTATTGTGCCATAAGATGGTAATGCTGAAGAATGGGATGAAAAACGATTTGTTGTACCGTCGAGGGAAGATCGATGAAGTTGATGTTCATTTTCAAGTACATCATCAATCACTTCATTCGCTGAACGACGACTATCCGTTTGCCTTCTTATTGGAACGTAGACATCTGCTCTTATCGAGGACACGCGCGGCAAATGGATATCATAGGTTATTTTTGGTTGTGGTGTATATGTTCGTTGTATGGTTTGTGCAGATGACTTTACACTTTGATTTTGTACTGAGGGTTGAGATTGGTAAGGATATTTTGGAGGTAATGTTGATGCTACGGAAGCATTAGGTGTAAGAAATGATACGTCTAATAAATGGGGATGACTTGCAACTGTGTCTTGGAGTGGAACATTACTCAAATTTTCTGCACTACTACTCAAAAAGGATTGACGTTTAGTACCATTTAGAACTAATGTGGGTTGTGACGCTGCTGAATTAGTAGAATGAATGTCTTGCGAGTGTCGTGTTTGTGACTGATCAATAACGCTTGTTGTAGTTGGTGTTGTTTGATTGGATGTAATTGATGATGATGCATCGATAGCTGATGTTGCTTGCTGACGTCGACGGCTGTAGTAATCACGTTTATTCGTAATAGCTTGTTGCATTAACGATTTTTCTTTTTCCAATTCGCCTATTCTTATGTCTAATTGCTTTTTCGAATCTTCCAAACGTTGTCGATAAACAGCTAAACGTTGTCGAGTTAATGCAGCCATTTCTTCTTCGTATTGGTGCATTTTTATTTTAACATTTTCCGTATCCATAGGTGTTGTGTCGAATGAGAGTGAGCGTAACAAAGCGTCTAAATTTAAAAGAATAATTTCACGTTGGTGCAACTATCAATTGCAAGTCAGACATTTATCTCTCTCAGCGTATAGTAAAGGTACTCGTTCTTGACAGATTTAGACATGGAGAACACAATAAATACCTGTTTCGCCAATGATATAATTCAATTTTGCTTCGGTAAGTTCTACCCATATTTTTGATCTATCCCAATTTAACGATAGTAAATCGAGTATATGAGCTCTTTCACGTCGTAATGCATCGATTTGTCGTTCTAGTTCACCAGCTGATGTGCCAACATCACGATAGCTCACTGGCTGTTGATTATTTCGTGTATGATGATGACGAGAAGAAAAATCGTCGGTTGTTGTTGGCATTTGGATACGAAGACTAGAATTACGATCGTTATTAAGACGAATATTTGCGTGATGCGTAGATGAACGATGACGTCTAGGAGCATGTATTAATAATTCACTTTGATGCTCATATAGAGGTTGTCCGTTTTCCTCCTTTGACATAGGTGATGTCTCAATTATTACGTTTGGTGTACTCTCCGTTCTACTTAAATTAGTAGCGGTGGACTGTGCCTGTGGGCTAGCTGTTAATGTTCGTTTGCGTGATAATGAGGATGTATCTAATAAATTTGATGTCGAACGTCGTTGACTGTAAGGTGTGACATTTAGATTCTCGGAAAATTCTTCGCTATCAGACGATGAACCTTTAATGTCGACTTGCAAGGCAAAATTAGCCAATTTTCGGCGATTTCGAAATGTCTGAAATACACACAAATTGTAATCATAGTTATAAAAAGGTATTTCTTTACAAACTTACTTGAGTATTGTTAGTTGTCATCACAACATCGTCCACAAATGTTTCGTTGAGAATTCCTGAATCACCACTACGTTCTAATGATGTACGTTGATTAGCTGCTGTACTACTACTCCATTTACCAGCATCCATTTGTTCACTTGATTTAGCACCAGATAATGCATTGTTTTGAGCACCAACATGTGATGATCTGGTATTTAATGTAGTAGTGCTGCCGGGTGATGTGTCATCATTAAGCAAATCGGGCTCTGAATAATGATAACGTGGTTTGTCCGATGTTGTTAGATTATTCATACGTGATGGTTGAAAAGTTGTTTTCGCTATTAATCGTTCAACATCACTCTCATCACTTGTTCGTAATGCATAGTCTTGAAAATCTTTTTTCTTCTTTGGTGTGGTCTCAATATCAGTCGATTGCTGTTGTTGCTGTACTCTCAATGGACTATCCGCCGAGCTGATATCCGCATCTTCATCTGTAGGTTGAGTATGCTTAGTTAAAGTACTTTTCCTTGATATTATTTGTTGTTGTACAGTCGACGGTGATTTTCGTTGCTCAGTAGCTCGAAATTTTGATTCAGAATCAGTCAGCAAGTAGTAATTATCATTTGTATATTGACTAGCAGTCAAAAGTTGAGGTTGATCGATGACACTCGATTCTGATTTTGTTGTTCTATTTGTTTGTTCTAATTTAGAAATAAATTCTTTGCTGGATATCCACGGTGTTGTTTTTATTGTATCTGTTGCTGTTGTTGACATATCCAAAGTATCCGATGACGGAGGAGAAAATTGTGATGTTCTTCTCGTTGACGTGGCAAATCCTGAATCATCAAGTGCTGCTCCATCAGCTTTCAACGGATTATCGTCGCTCTTTTTATTGTTCTCATTAGCAATTGTTTGTGCTCCAAATGATGCCGTCAATCCGGGTATATCGGCGATGTACACTTGAGTTTGTGAATTAATAGAACTGATGCGTGGTTGCAGCGAATAAATATCATCAATATTACACTGTGAGCCGAGATCATGATAAGCGATTTTCATTGGTGGGCTGTATTGGCAGCTACGATCAATTGTAGTAGTTGACGGTACAGTTATTGGAGATGTACTGGTCGTGTGATACTGTTTCTGAGGACGAGGCGGGGTTAGTAGATCTTTAATTGGTGAATCAGCTGTATCTCTGTTCTTATTTTGCTTTCTAGGAATGGTAAACATCGGTGGTTCGAGAGATGTGCTAGATAAATCTGAATTTTTCCAATTAAATTCGTCAGGTACATCATAGATAGCTTTTGTGGAAAATCTCGTTGGACTTGATGATCTCATTGTAACTGTCTGAACTGGATGATTCACTGTACTGATGAAATGTTGAACAGTCGAAGATGGTTGTATTGATCTGTTTGCCGTTAATGGTATATTATGTGAAGACGATGAACGTTGCTTCGTTGTGGTAGACGACCATTGTGACTGTCCAGGACTTCTCCAATTTGCAGTATGATCTCCTTCAAATACTGTGTGATCATGCCAACTTTCGACAACATCAACTTTATCCTTTTTTGGCCGAATCGGCGTAGAATACCCATCTCCTTCAACAATAGATGCTTCACGTTTATCTACAACGATATGGTCAAGTTTTGATGATGATAGCTGGTGTTCGTTTTTATCAGACCAGTTTTTAAACATATGATCTTGATCCCGTCTATCATGAATATAAGATGAAGAGGATGCTTTTGCTGTCTTGCTCGTTTCGTATTGGCTCGGTTGTCGCGATGTATGTTGTGCATTCTGTTCTCCTTTTACACGTTCTTTCGACTTTTGAACGCCATTGTCAATGTAGACAGACCCTTGCGTAATAACAATCGACTCACAAATAGAATTGAGCATTGTGGATGGCCCGTCTATATCAATCGAAATCATATCGGATTCATCAAAATGTTTTGGATTTGTCCCAATAGTTGGCACTTCGATATCGTCGGATAAGCGTTCATATTTCGTATCCTCTTGTAACGAACTGATGCCATTTGTATGCAGTACCCCACTCAAAACTTGATTTAAAATCTTTCGTCCTCTATATGGTATATTTGGTTTTCTAGCCATTATGTCTGGCCCAGCGTCAAAGCGTTTCGTTAATATCACCCGTTGATCTGTGCCTTCTCTATCTACATAGCCAACCTTGAAACCTTTACCTTGCTTAACTATTTCTAAATCACATACTTTGTTAATTCGTTGTGTTTGAAATTGATGGCGATAGGGATCGCGCAGTAAATGTTCACCAGGATATGCAGGTGCGCTTAATCCACGTGGAGGTGACGAGAGACTACTGTATCGTGATATTAAAGGAACATGAAACATAGATGATGGTAGTGTTGGGACGTTGTTACGATTTGAAATATTACTATTCAACTTTTGTTCGTATGAATTTGTGTTGAATGTTGTTGAATCAACACTAGGTTTTGTACGATACGCTGATGGGTGTTGCGTGAAATCGCTAACAGTGGTTGATGGTATTCGAATGTCGGGACTAATTAACAGTTTTTGTTGTCGTTCCACATCTTCGGTGGTCGCTGAAAGGCGCGTCGATTCTTGCGATTTCGTTGATGACAACACTCGTTCTTCTTCGTTCTCCTTGTTATTAGAATATCTAGTTGACCTTGATCGCGATGGAATATGAGTTGTATAAATATCTGATTTTGATTGTGTAAGGTGATCATACATAGCAGATGACGATAGTTTTGTGTTGTCACTTTCAGGTAGAATTTTTACTATCGGCTGAATGCTAGAAGACAAGATATCCGATTTCACAGTATTATTTTGTATTTGATTGACAATGTTGACTAAATTATCCAGCGGTTGTTCTTTGTGAACATATATATTAGATTCTAAATTATTTGTCAATGTAAATTGTTTATTATTATTAATTTCAAATATATCATGTTTGATTCTAGTTAATTCGTCAATATTTTTTCTATTCAATGTATCATTCACGATAGGTACCAGAGAATTGATTTGTGGTGGTTTTTCATTAATACTTTTACGTATATCATTGACAATTGAAGTTAAGTTATGAACAGACGGCAAGGAAGTAAAATCCATTTGTCTCACAATCGTTGTTAATTCACTGATATTCGATTCAGGTGTGATTATATCGTCGAAGATCTCTGGTTCTATTTTTGCCGTTGTAGTTGTATAAATAACATCAGAGGTTTTTATAGAATATACTGGTGAAATATCGATTAGATCATCAGTTTGTTTAATTAAAGGTGTATCGTTATTTGTCGATGTAAAAGAAGTAATTTTCTTCTCACCATCAAATGGCAATGATAGAATTTGACTTTTTATTAAAATCAAATTTTCTATATTCTGGCTGTCTGTTTGTACTTCTGATTCTATATTTTTTTCTTTTTCATTTCTTTCGCCTTCTGTTTCGGACTCAAACAAGTGAAATAATGCGGATGGTGATGGTTGTTGCACAACGGTCGGACTATACACTTCTACTATTTCTTCTGTATGCTTTTGTTTTTCGCTTTCAATTATTTCTTCTGTGTTTTTACCTTTAACAAAATCAAAATTTAGTTCATTGTTTGTTTCTATTGTCGGACTAATTTTGATTGATTCATGTTCTTGTTGTTGTTCTAGTAATGGAAATGTTTTCAAATGATAACTGAGATCTTCTGCTATCTGTTTTTTTGCTTTTATTTCTTCAGCACGACTTTTAGCTGCTTGAGCAATACCAAAAAGTTCTTGTATGGAATCATTCGTTGTTGTTGTCGTTGGCTGTAACAGGAAAACATTTTCGCTAGGCCGTGATGGAGGTGTATGATTGAGAGAATCACCATCGAAAAACTGCTGTTCTAAATCAAATAATTCACCATCTAATGAATCATTATCTTGCATGTGTGATGATGTTCGAGGATGTTCGCCTATTTCAGCCAACTCATCTGCTAATGTCTTTTTAGGTGGACTATGAATTGTATTTTCAGCTAAATTTGATGATGTATTTCCACTTAAACGTGATAAACGATAGGCAAGTTCCGTCGGATCTAAGTGAGTATCATGGATAGATGACATACTGGTACGTGTTGAAGAGGTATCCGGTGCAACTGTTGCGGGTGCAGAACCAATTTCCTGTGATTTTTGATATTCCATATTTGAATCAGTGATATAATCGGAGCCTGAATGTAAATTTTCGTTCTCGTTTATTGGTAACCGTTCAATATAGTACGATAAAGATCGATCAAGTTTATTTTTATCACTGTCAACGATAGATAATGTATCTGTTTTTTGTGCATGTACATTTATGGTTGATGGAATTATTTCAATTTTATCAGTATGATTAAATGAAACAGTCGATATTTCATCCGGTATCGAAACAATAGAATCGATAATAGTCGTTGGCGATAATAGCGTCGTTCTAGTAAATATTTCATTATGTTTTGATTCAATTTCTAGTTCATCATCCTCGTATTTGACAGATAAATCGTAAAATGCTGGTTGATCAGTTATTGATTTAGTCCATGCTTCGTAATCAATATTATAATAGTGAGAATGTTTTGGCTGTTCTTCTTTTGATTGTAATTGCTGTTGTTCTCTGTTATAATCAGGTGTGGTCGGTCTACTTTGAATCGAAGATAATGGTCTCGATTGTGGTGATGATATATTTGAGTCAGCCTAAAAATGGTTTAGCAATATAGAGAAGGTTAATATTCAAGACCTTTTGAAATATTCACTAAATTTAGAGTTTAGTGATAACCTACCTCTTCACGTTCGTCTTCTTCTTCTTCGTAGCTGATTTTTTGGTGCAACTGGGTGGTATCTAATGGTATGTCATTAACATCTTTTTTCAAGTTTTTATCACGTTCAAATACATCATCACTGTCAACGCTGGATGCATACTGTGATGCACGAGAACTTGGAATTGTTGACAGTGAATGGGGACGAAATAGTGCCAGTTCTGTATAGGTATCTCTAATATTTGACGTTGCCATTGCCAAAACAGCTGCTTCATCGTGAGCAGCTGACGCATATTCACTATCAAAACCTCCAAATTCTGGTAGTTCTTTGTCATTTTCGGCCGTTGTAAAATATTGACTATCAAGCATAAAATCATTTTCGGCATCTCTCATATCATCATCGTCTAAAAATCGATGTTGATTTGGATAATGAAACACATAATTGAACTGATTTCCATCATCTGATGTTTCATTTTTTGACGTCGTAGGAGATAATGAAGAAGAAGATGAAGTATTTCTATTTAAAGCATTTGATAGTAGTTTTTGTATTAGATTTGTCGTTTCATTGTTATTTTCATTTGTAAATGGTTTGGGCGACAGATCGCCGTCAAGAATAGTACTACCACTACTATTGTTATCTAATAGTGTTTTTTCATTCAATAAAGGAGTTGTTGAAGGTAAAAACTGATTTAAATCGACAGTTTCAGATTGAGTAATGTGTGGAAATGGTTCATTGGTTAGAGATGGGTTTGACAAATAACTGTTAAAAGATTTTTCTGACTGTTGTTGTTGACTAGACACATCAATTGTTTGGGATGATCTAATAGTATTAGTAAAATAATCTGGAAAATCATCATACATAAAACCTTGAGATGGTGAACCAACATATTCGTGTTCAACATGTGTAATATTTACAATATCATTTGTATTATTCTCTTGTTTCTCTTTCTCAATTATGTTTGGATTACTTTCTTCAAATGATTCAATACTATCGTCTGAGATACGATCAGCTTCTCCTTCTACTGAATTTTGCTGCGTGGTTGATAATAATAATATTGACTTTTCATCAGTTGGTTCAGCAATGGGCTCAGAAGGACTTGTTCTCTCAATATTTGTCTCTTCAACATTTCTTCTTGTTTGATTGAAGGGCGTTGTACGATAAAAATCAAATGGATCCATAGTGGTGATTGGTGCTCCATCGAGTAGGCCTTGATTTGATGTTTTATTATCGTCTTGTTGTTGCTGTTGATCGGGTGCATATTGACTTCGTTGTAATAAAGTACCGGCATCAAATGATTTGGATTTTGTTGTTGTAGCCATCGTTTTTGAATTTGAATTCGAATAACGACAAATATCATTGTGACTACGAGATTTTTCTATAATTGGTTCGATATTTGTATAAGAACCAGATAAACCGGCAATATGTCTCCGTTTATATTCGGTTAATTCAAAATCATCTTTTTCACTATAGGCCAAGTTTAACAATGAAAACCATATTTGTTCAAGCGTTTCTTTCGTTATCGTTTTATTATTATACTGGTCTAGGTCACTTAACGAATGGGAATGTTCGTAATTATTTAACGTATGAAAATGATCAGCATCATTCGTATTAAATTCACTCTCCAAATAATTTAATAAATTTGGACATGAACACGATGTTGTTAAACACGGTGATAAATAAAATTCATCTGAATCACCAATTTCTTGCGACAGGCTATATTGAATTATATTAATCGGATTTTTTGATCTCATTTGTTCATCATCGTTCGACTCTAATATTTCTGTTGGTAAAGTTTCATTTTCAAAAGATTTTATTGGTCTTTGGGGAGAATTTAAATCTTGAATCCATTCACAACGATATTGTTGAGCTAACTGTAGAGCTGCTGCACTCCCAAATGCTTTGTAATACATGCCTGAAAAAAAATAAACTTGAGCTACAGAAATAGACTTTAGATAATTAACTTAGATTTAATGTAAAATTAAAAGAGATTCATGAATTTCATGTAAAACACCATTAAATTTTTTCAATAACGCCATCTGCCATTCTTTCTCTTTCTAAACTTTTTTTTTTTTTTTGTTTTTCTGCACATATATTATTACTTCTGACGTGCGCTCACTTTAAATAAACAGGATCTTCTTGAGAAAACAATCGCACTTCAAAGATTTACTGCCTAAGGAGCGTTGTTACGAAGAAAGTGTAGTAACCGTCTCTTGTCCAAAAAAATTACACAAGTAAAATGAAATAATTTACTTACCGGTTGTTTTTTCTTTCGGTATTAATTGTTCGGATGATGATGAGGATATTGCTCGTCCATCATGCGTAGAATTATCATCATTATTATTGTAAATCATTGTTGTAGAATCATTAATATTCAAATCCCCAACAGTTGTATCTGTTGTTACTGTTGGCCTTATATCCGGATAAGATATTTTACTACTCGCATCATTTTCATTTATGTTTGTTTCGTCTTTGTTGTACAAATTTCCTTGTTTTGTGACATTGTCTCCTATGTAAGTGAAAAAAAGAGAATGATCTTTAATCGGCTTTGTATTTGTTGTAAAAAAGAGAAAGACCCATGAGTATTTGCTTATGTGTACATTTATACTATCATGGCACACATACTACACACACCTTTCATTTCCTTATTCGTTTGCATTTTTTTATTTTCACACATCATACAACTTTTCTTCTTTTGCTTTCTGTTCCTATTCCCTGTATACATGTAATTTACAAAACTCACTTTTTTGTTCTATTTCAAATGTCCTTTATAAATTCATTAGTTGAGAAAGAGAGAAAAAAAGAGCAATGAATTTTCTACTTGTATCACACAAAAGACAAAAAAAACTACACACACACACCTTAGTTGAAGAAGAAACGAACTTATTGTTTTTGTTCAACAAAAAGGTGTATCTCTTACCCTCTCATTATAAATGATGACCATTTTTCATATCGTCTTTTGTATTCAGTTGTACAATGGAGCTAATTACAGAGTATACTTAGTCGGTAATTAAACAAACCCGTTAAGTCGTGTTTCAATAAACACTGACAATGATCATCTGGTAATAATGAAATAGACAATGTAGATGACCAACTATTAGTTATTACGCCATTTGAGTGAAAAAATTCACTAGTCAAAACTGATATTGTTTTTTTAGAAGGTAAGTTGTTTATGTATGTTAGTGAGAAAGTAGATAATTAGAGAAACTACAGATTCATTATCAAATCCATAGAAATTTTAAAAAAAGCTAATTTAAAACATTACTTTTGCTATTTTAAGGCTACATCAGCCCACTTTTCCTTTTAAAAGTAAAAACATTGATATTTGTTTTTTTTATTGATTTACACACGATCAAGTGTCCTCTTTAACGTAAGATAAGTTTTAATCGAAAAAAAATGTCGGTACTTATACTATAACGTTTTCCAAAAGTCCTATTCAAATTTTTTCAATGATTCATATTTTTTTCTCAATTTGGACATTTTTTTTGTTGGTCAACTTCATTTGCAAGCATATAACCTTCTCTAAATTTCATCGGATTGAGCTAGAATTTTATTTTAGCCACTCAACATTCTATGTTAGATAAAATTTTTGTTTTGTTCTAAAAGTTTTATAGTAATATTTTTCAAAACGGACATCTAACATGAATCTTGAGTAGCTAAAATAAAATTCTAGCTCAACCAGATGAACTTTTGATAGGATTGTAGGTTTACAGTTGAGAGACAATATTTCGTTATGGAATTTCTGGAGTTTTCTTGTAAGACGAGCATGTGTTTTGAGATGCTCATTATTCGGTGAAAATACAAGCTACCTATATCTTAAAATGACCAATCTTTCCTGAAGGGTGTCTTTATAGTCCTGATAGTGTGTCTTTGATATAAAAAATAGTTTGAAGATAGACGAATAGGTGAGAGTGAGGGAAAAAGCACGAACACCGAAGCAGCATATCTTCTTGAAAGAGATACAAATCCGTCCTTACTGGGTTTGTAAGATCAAATAACATTAAAGACAATGTCCAAAATGACTGTGACTTGTCGATAATGTATATTAATTAAGAAGTATGTACCTCATTTCAGACGTAATCAGAAGCTGAATGTTACTTTAGTCGTGCTGATTGAATCTGACTTGACCGGCGATAAAAGCTCACTTTTTTGCTCACTGTCACTTCAATGAATGTGCCAAAACTATTTTAAGACGTTATTTTACTAAAAACCTATAAAATTCACGTTTTATCAACAATTTTTAGTTTAGTTTTTCATACTTTTTGCTGGATTTAAAATTGAATAATTAGTTGATACTAAATTAAAAAGTACCAAAACGATGTTCTTTTTATCAATTTTCAACGAAAACCTCTACTCACAACGCACATGGTCATCTGAATGTTTTTATCATTACTACTGTGAGATACAAAAACTTTTCCCTCATTTTTTGACATGAAGAGAATTAGTTTTGCCTTTTCAATAAAAATCAATTATTGAAACTATAACTAAAAACCTCATTTTATGCATCTATAGACGATGTACGCATGAAAAAGCAAAATAAAGGAAAAAAAAGAATGGAAAAAAGAAGAATGAGAAAACCATGCAAACGCCAAATGATCAGGTGTAATAAAACAATTATTTGGGTATAACCCTGTGGAACTTATTTAATTACCTGTCGCTGTAGTTGAATTACGAAGATTTATTGTTGTTGCAGATGTATACATATTTTCAGTATTGTTATCTGTTCTATCAGTTACTTGTTCGGTTCGATGAATATTTTCATCAGATAAACCGAGTGCCGAATCTTTGGAATGAAAATTAGTTTTGGAAGATATTGATGACATTGAATCATTATTTTCATTGTATCGATGTAATCGTTGTGTTGATGATGATGGCAGTTGATTTTCATCTTGTAACAATGAATCATGACTACTATTATTATTATCATGATTGTTAACTGATAGACGAATAATTGGTTGATTGACCGATGTAACTTGAATATGTTCGAATTCTTCATAAACAGAGTAGGATGATGATGAATCATCTGTGTTTGGTGTGTTCTCTTGCTCCATCGATATTTTTGTTTTTATTTGACTATCACTGATTACCTGTTCTTCTAAACGTTTGACTGTGTTTATCGTTAATATTGGGCTGGCCGATTTTTCTGAAAACATATACGACAATCACCAAGTTTTTTTTCATTAAAAAAAAAAAAGAAGAGAAAATTCATTTCTTTTTCTTTCTATTTCTGTGTCAATTTTTACTTTTTTTTTTCTTCTGTTCTCATCTTTATTTCAATAAGAAAAATTTATTTTTTTTTTTTCTTCTTTTTATTATATTCACTCTTACCACTACTAGTCATTTTGATGATGACATTTCCATCATTTTCTGCTTTTTGTTTTGTAGAATCAACAGCAAGATCATTTTTCATTTCGTTATTATCGTTATTGTTGTTTTTAACAACATTACTGCTTATTGTGGACAACGTATGCCTATCTATCACATAATCTAAACAAAAAATCAAACATGCTTTGTTAAAATTCATGATAGATCAATTTTCAGTAGGATTGAAAACAACAAAGAAAAAGAAATTTAGCTTTCAATGAGAAGGGATTTATAAGTCAATGTAATTTTGATTTTATACAAAAGTTTACGTACGATTGCGCTTATCAATGCACGCTGATAAAACATTCAAATCATTTGAGAATTTGTAATTTAAAACTATTTTTCCTTTCTTAATGGTTTCTGAACAAAATAAACATACTATTATCAATAAAAGATGAAAAAATGTCTCATTATACTATCTTTTCTTGACTATTCTGTAATATTTATCAAAGAATATGAATTAATCTCTTTCTTGTATGACTTGATGAACAAATTCTTTTTAGAATAACTTGTAATCGAAGAACGACATTTGTGTGAAGAAAAAAAAACGAACATTGATTATTGTATAAGACAATTCAACTTTCTTAATAGACAGCACTTCTTACTTGTTCATTATATAAGCTGATTTTTGAATTCATAGTTTTCATCTTATAGGATTAAGTTTTCGTTTAACCTTTCTAACTCACCAGTCAGCACATTTTTTGTCTAAATGGAGTTTATTAACAAAATATAAACTATTGTTCTCGAAGACAAAAAAAAAAGAAACGCACAAATACCCAGCAACCTCTTTCTTTAGCAGTAATAGTGTCCGACAAGCAGACGTAGACATTTTGACATGCCGCATACCTATACATTTATCGACTGGATATAATAAGATAAGTGCTTTCATGTCTCTCTTAACTATTCTCTTAAACTCTGTATTTTGAGTATACAGTCAATCAATACAAGCGAAAGAGAGAGAGAGAAAGAAAATAAGAAAAATAGAAATAATACAAATAAAACATTTTCTTTTTACTTTTGTTTTTTTTAAACCGATTATGATTACTATAAAATTGAATGAAAGAAGTAAAAATCACCTTTTTTTTTAATACATATATATGCTCTCTATTGTCTCAGGTTCAAATATTTAATGAAGCATGAAGCAAAAATAGAACTGCCTATTTTACTCTTATATGTTTTTGCAATCTTTTTTGTTCAATGCATGTTAAATCGATTAGTCGAATATCAAAAAAAAAAAAGAAGGCAAAGAGGACATTTTTTTGTTTCAATAGTGATGCCTCGTTCTCTTTGATTATAAACGAACACCTTAAATGAGCAGACAAGGCACACGCGCAGTTACTTCTTTTTTTTTTTTCATTTTACTTACAATACATAAAATCCAATATATTGAGTACTATTGTTACTCATAAAACACTTTATCACATGACAAAGAGACATATTTTAAATTTTACAATAATCGTACAGAAAACTGCTCGAGTAGAAATAATTGTAGAGAAACTAACTGCTAAATAAAAAAACATATTCAAAATGCCCCGATTAAATATGTTCATGAATTTTAGAATAATAATCAAAATGTTGGAAACAAACTGAATGCATAAGCATAAGTAATGATAGATAGATCAAAAAAATATCATCCGTGAAAGTTTGTTTCAGAAGAATTTTGAAAAAAAAAATAGTAAAAAAAATGATTCGGTTAAAAACATATCCAGATCGTAAACATGACCTGAAGATATACTTACAATAAGTCAGCTATTCATTTTTTTACTTATACATTGCTATATAGTTCATAGTGTTCACCTTTACAACGTGTATATAGATATAGATATACGCCATAGTTGAACAATTTCTGCTGAACATTTAAAAAAATTTTGTAAATGTTATTTAAATACAGGAAGAGCAAATGGAACAGCTGTAAACTCTGTTACTACTCATCTCTTTGCAATAGAGTGGAGAACGTAAAATATCAACATATATTTCTTTTTAATTTTTTTTGTCTATAAATAGCATGCGAAGTAGAGAAGAAGAAAAAAACAATGTACGGCGTAAACTATATAATTACCTTTACGGTGATTTTCATCAAAAGATTTTGTTCGCTTTTGTTTGTGATCATTATTATCTTTTTCTTGTTCAATAATAATACGTTTATTATTTCGCTGTTCTTGTTGACTTAATAATATGTTTAAATTTGATGTATAGGTGGTATCTTGTGGGTCTTGATTAATTTTTTCATAGAAACGATTTATGGAATAAACATCAAAATCAACAATATCATCGTCATTTGTTGTTTTTATTATGGTTGAATCTGACATATCTAAATAACCATTGAAGTGGTTATAAAACTACTCAAACTCAATTATAGAGAGACAGAGAGGGATTCGCTATTCTATATCAGTAAGTATGAAAAAGCAATGAACCATTCTACTATAGTCTGCCTGTACAAAAGAAGAAATTTACTTTTATTTTCCACCTGAATGCATATATATATATATATATGTATAGCCTATGAAATGTAGAAAAAAAAAGTAATCGTGCCAACGACATTTTCTCAATCCGTTTTTTGTTTCGTTCTATAGTTAACCTTGATATTTAACAGCTGTTACACTTGCCTTCACTTATTTGACCGTTATTTGACTTATGATCAATCGTAGACAAACAGTCACTTGTTGTTGGACACGATTGACAACGACGATGTTGTTTTCTTAATGTATCGATAATCACCGTACTGTTTGTATTCGCTGATGATATACTGCGATTATTTTTATATGCTTCATTTTCTATTACTGTTATTAATGATGATGATTCGGACATTGTACGTCGACGTCCTTGACGATGCTGTAGTGAAGACATATGAATGGACAAGATTGATGAATCAGATGAGAGAAAATCAGTTGATGGAACTACCACAATTGGAAATTCATCACCATCGAGACTTGTTAATGTTGATGACACCATAAATTGTTCTTGTTCTTGTTCTTGTTCATTTTCAAAAAAGTCTTGGTGATGTTTTGTAACTGTTGTTAATGAAAGCGATGAATTCATTAATTCAATATCATCATTAACGTTCTTATCATTTGTTAATTGTTCATTATCATCACCATCACCACTAAAATTCAAATTATGTTTGATAATAACATTATCATTGATAATTGAAGGTTTTTGTTCTAGGACATTGTCATTAGAAGACGTCATTGTTACATCACTGTTCGCCTGTTCAATGGGCTGTTTTGTTTCTGTATTAAACAATTCATTTGTTTCATTTAAAAAGGTGGTAAACACTTTATCAATCCAATCGCCAAATGAATCAAAATAAGCCGTATATTTTTCTGGAATTTTGGTATCCACTGGTGAAATACGTCCTGAAGAATTTACTTCAACATTTTCATCATCACTGCTACTATTCTGGACATTCTCTATTTCAATAAAATCCGTATAAGTTTTTTGTTCAGTAATTGTTGTTGTGTTTTCGTCTGTCGAATGGTATAGACAGTCTTCCTCTTCTTCTTCTTCATCATCATCATCATCTTTCATAGATACTGATGAACATTCCATTATATTGCTCGTATTAATTTCACTTTCAGCTGAATAATATACATCACTAAACGTATTTGTACGGGTTCCATCACAAACAGCCGTTGAATAGCTTCGCATGTCATCATCTGATTGTTGCTCAATATTTAATGACTGTCGTAAGAAATGAGATGGTTTCAATAATTTTGTCGCGATATCTAGTTTACTTATATTCTGTTTGTCAGCATTGTACAATGAATCATCGGGCAAAACGGATAAATTATCCGATACATCTATTTGTTCTGTATTTTCGTTCGTATTTTGTTCCTGAATCGTGAATGTGGAATTAAAATGCGTACCCAGTTCACTATTGACATCGACACCTGAATCTTGTTGTGTACTATATTCACAGGAAAATATACGTGAACGAAAGGATGATAAAATAGGATCATTATTGGAGATTTTTGGTTGTAATATTAGTGATGGTGTTGCTGCTATAGACGATGAGGTCATTAAGCCATTTTCTGAGACAGACGGTGGATCACTACTCTGAGAAGTCGTCATTTGGCTAGCATTAAGTCGAACTGCTAATTTTTCTCGATAATTACGCAGCGTGGATGTGGGTGATATTGTTACAACCGGATCAACAGAGTCAATTGTAGATAACTGAGAATTTAAATCGTCAACATCTTCATCTGTGGATGCATAAGATACGCCGAGATTGTTTTGCTGAATATTATCATCAACAGATTGAGAGCGACGATCATTCATTTCAATTAAGCTTGTCTCATAAACAACTGTATCATTTCTATTGTTAATTTGTCCTTCAATTGCCAACTTTTTTCGTTTTGAAGATGGTGAAGAGATTGATGTTGCGGATGATGAAGAAGAACCTGTCAGCTTCAAATCATGACTACTTTTTATTTCAATATTTGATGTCTCATTTGTTATAGGTGAAGATGTTCCTTTGATATTATGTTGAAACATTGGATATTCCGTATCGATATCAATTAATTTTTGTGTTTCTAATTGTTGTTGTTGAATTTCGATAGATGATGGTGATATTGGTCTTGATACTCGATCATGTTCCGTGTCATGGATATTTGTTTCTCTTTCTTGTTCTCGTTGTTCAAGTCTCGGTAGACTTAATCGGTTTTTCTGCCATTCTGTTTGATTATCTACCAGTACTAAATTAGAATAAAATATAATTTATTAATTAGATTATTGATGATAAACTTTATGATTTTCTATGAAAGAGTAAAAAGTAAAAGATTGTCCTTGATTATTTAATTCTAATTAACACATAAATATTTGCTAACGTCAACACAAAACATATTGCTAGATACATCTTGAAAATTCAAAGTCTCACTAACTAAACAATAAATTAGATGGTTAAATGATGAACGATCGGTCAAATGTTTCATCATCCACATAGGATTTATTTCCTTCTAGATCACGACAGAAGAGTGTACATAAAGCTAAAAAAGATGAAAAAATAAATCTAACCCTAATTCTTAGATCTAAAAATAATCTGCAATAAGAGCCACAGTATTTTCTTTTTTTTATATTTCTAAGACAATGTTTCTAACAAAAGAATTTAAAACATCTATTAAGACCATATGCATCCGGAAAATTAGCACGGCAGGTTCATGAATTATATTTTTTTAGATGAATATTATTAAAAAAATATAGTCTAGAAATTGAAATAGAAAATTGTCATGCATGTTATGACTTTTATATTTAATTCTATACAATTGTATTAAAAGATGAGAAATAAATCGTTTTTTTTCTTTATCATCCATTCAGTTATAGAAGGTAATAGAATATAATTTATTAATAGAAGAAGACAAACGGTGTCAACCTTCCATACAGTAAAAATCTCTTTTGTATTTCTCTTCCGCCTAATAACAATCATTATGCTTACAATGAATTTAATGATAATACATACTAATCACAAGAAATCTATGATTTTGATAGTCAATTACTTTTAAATAAATAACAAAATTAATCATGAAAATAATGGCTGAAGTAGTTTCTCTACAATATGTAACAAATGAATATTGAAAGTGATATTGATATTTTTCTAATACTAACTATTTTAATGGAAATTTGTTGGGTTTTTTAAGTTTGACAACAAAATTGAAACTACTCCCCTTTTTTCCATGAATATTAACATGAGTACATGAGAAAAATAATAACTTACTGTTAATATCATTGTTTGGTTTTTTCATTTGATTAGTTGTTGTAGGTAAAAGTTTATATCGTCGACGAGGTAATGGCCATTCATTTAGTAGGGATTGTGTCTTTGATGTAGTAAGAATAGGCGGTGCTGATCGTTGATTTGAGCTATCACTTGTTGATGTATTATTACTATCGGTATTTTCAGTTAAACATTTATCTAACATAATTAAATTTTGTTGTTGTTGTTTTTTCTTTCGTTTTTGTTGTTTTTTCTTTTCATCATTATTATTTAAATTATCTACACTCAACCACTGAAATTTTGTTGAATATTTTAATTTTTTTCGTCCATTTGATTCAATATTCCAATTAACATAATCATTTTGATTTAAAAATGATGGTTGAATACGTTTTAAACTTGTAATAGATATTACTTGACCATTAGATAATGATGATGATAAATGAGGAGATGATGAACAATCTTGTAAAAGATTTGATGCTGAACCGGTGTATGTTTGACAAGATGGTAAAATATTTTCACATTTATACGTTGTATAATTATTCCAATAATCTGATCGACCTCGTTGAAGTAAAATATTACGTGATGGACGAGTTGAAATAAAACGATGTTTAGTGATCACCGGTGAATTTTGTTCAATAGATATTTGTGGATAAATTGTTGGTACAATTGAGTCAGTATCATCATATGTTTTATAAGGTGTTTTCCAAACAGATACAAGAGTTTTTGTTAAACCATATTGATTAAATTCAATTAGATATACTGATGAACTATTATCTAATTTATTTGTTGCTTCAAATCGAGATGATCGTTTTAAATTTTGATCATAAGTATCATGATTATAATATGCTGATCGTGGTCGTCGTTTACGATTAAGATCATCGGATGAATTTGATAGTGAATCATCGGATAAATCATTATGAGGTGATTCCAAACGATAGCGAGATGTTCGTAATTGAGAACGTTTTGTTAAATTATCATTTGAATTTGTTCGACGTTGTTCATTTATTGATAATGATGTTTGTCTAGATTTTTTCTTTATCGATGGTACAGTATTATCAGACGATGAATCACTTGTGCCTGCCGAATTGACATGTTTTGATTTTACACGACGTCCTATAGATAAAAGAATAAAATATTATTAGGAATTTTAATCAGAACAGTAATACAAAATTTAGATACATATAAATAAAAAATGTCATTCGTCATTAACTGTGTGTGAAAATTTGTATTTTATGACGGGAGAGAGAGAGACAAGTTAAAATATATATATTAGCGTGAACATTGTAAAATAGTGTGAAATCACCAAAAAATTCATTTTTTATTATTAATCAATCGAAACAAATTCTTTATAATTACCAAAAAATCTCTCGTCTAAATAGAGCAAATAGTTGTTCATATCTACTTTTTCGACTTTACAATAATCAAATCATGATGAAATAATTTAGAAAATAAAATATATTTTTTAGCCCATACAATAACATTATCAGTTGATTTGTATACTCTTATATTAATTTTCTGTTTAAAAAAAATTTCATTTAAACATACCACTAAACTGTTGTATTACTTTCATTTTAATCTTAAATTTTTTTTTATATAACTGATATTCAGAGATACATACGAATACATATTACATGTATTGAAATAAAAACTATGAATAATTTTAAAATATTTGATACAATATTCTATTTATTCTTATGTTTAACTTTTTATGTAACTAGAATGGTAGCTACATCTTATATAGATTGAAAACAACGATTATTTAATGTTTAAAAAAAAAAAAAAACGAAAAAAATACTTGAACATATAGAAGTCACAAAGTTAATACTGATTGCTTTTACATAATTCTTTTCTACAATTACAAGGATAAAAATGTGTATCATATTGAACGGAAAAAAAAAAACCCTAACAAAAGATGGATGCTGTGTTCTATTCATATTCCGCATCAGATGTTTCAAAAACGTTTTGAAAAATATAAATGAGAGGAGAGGTAGAAAAAAATTTTCATGCAAACACTCTCAAGTTATAAACACTTGATATGAATTGTGTTTTGTTCTATGTATGTTCAATAGTCTCGACAATCTTCTAACAATAGTTTATTGAAGAAAATTATTGCGGGTGATACAATCATCTATACATATGATATGGTGTAATATACATATGATGCAAAAGTGACAACTGAAAAATGAAAGTTACTAATATGGTGGAGACAAATGGTTCAGCATCATGCTGTGGTTTATATACCTTGCATTAATTCTATATTTCTGTCTATACAAGACATGTAAATCAACATATATCAAACATGCCGACATGTAACAAATGAACAATAAAACAATTTTTTAGAATATATACTGTTTTTTTTGTTTTTAATCAAATTTTATCCGGTCAAATAAATTTATAAACATGAAGATATTTACACTACTAAGGGTTTCTTTTTTGTATAATAATCATTTGGACTTTTTTTAATTTTATTCTATTTGTCGTACAGTACAGCAACAGCTTGATATAAAGCTGCAAAATATAATTCAATATGAATTTAATTTATCAAGTAAATAGTACACGTCATGAGTCTATTAATATAAATCTATTTATTATTTTAATCTGTTCATTTTTCCTAGAATGTACAATGATGTTGTATAAAGTACATGATATTTTACAAGTATACATCATCTTGTGAGTGTTAAATTAATTATTTCTCTTTGTCTATATTGATTACAAGAAATCATTGTTTTATTCATTTCTAACTAGTTCAAAACAGTTGAAAAACTGTCATATACATATGACTAATTTTAGTACAATATATTGTAATGGATTATAAAGGGTACAACATGTATCGATATCAATTATTGACTATTATCACATCTCTATTAATTATTTGTTTAAGGATTAGCTTTTTTACTATAGTAGCGTAGTTTATTACTGTGTCAATCGAACAACATTTTTTTTTGTTATTTGTTCATACTCTCATTCAGATGATGATTTCTTTACATATAAACAAGCGATAAAGAGAGAGAAAGGCCATCCCCTCATCACTTCCGTTATTAATTGTATTCTGTAAACAATGATGGTATGTATTTATTTACTTAAGAATAAAAACTATCTGATATAAGTCTCAATATGAAACTTTTAACGATTATATTATCTTTTGTTTTATCAGGATATGACTTCTGATCAGTTGAAAGTTAACTACAACAGAAAATAAAAGTATCCAATATCTATATTTTTTCTGATTGGGAACTAAATCTTCTATTAGACAAACATTGAAAAATATTTGAAGTTTTTATTTTCAAATTCGTACAAATCTTAATCATTAGACAAAAGAGAACGATCATCTGCTAATCATTTCTCTCATTAATGATGGATTGATTGCATGATTTATTGTATTAAAGTAGATGTTTGACATAGCATGCATACACAATTTGAAAGTACTTTGACATTTTTCTAGTACTAGATAATATTTTATATTTGTACCTTTTATTCATATGTGATCCTCTTCTTTTTCTTTCTAGATTATACTCCGAACTTTATACTTCCAGTTCACATCATCCTGACATTTTTTGAGTGTCTATACTGACGTTAAGCAAAAGGAAGAGTCTAAGTAGCTTATAAAACATACTAGTATGTCTGTCTATCTAAATAGTGTGACAGAAGCAAAGGAAACAAAAGATAACGGATACCTATGTAGTCTCATTTTCTAATTGTTAAGTAAACTATGAACATATGGTCTAATTGACAGAAATAGAAATTGATATTAGAAAAACAGTTATTAAATATTTAGATGTGTATGTTGACTATTTAATGAAAAAAAATAACAACAGATGGTCGAATTTAAAATAATTTTAAGAAAAATTTCTCAATATTCCGATACATGTCTGTGATCAATATGAGAAGATAATTTAGTATAACTACTCTATTGTCTACATTGTAAACATCATTTTAAAATATTTTTGACAGTTTTTTAAATTATGTCAACACATTTTCTTAGAAAAAAAAATTTAGAAGAAAGTACAACAAACACCTCTACATTCTCATTAAAAAATCATTATGAACAATTATTTTATGTATATAATTGACTTTCATCATTATCAAACAACATGATATTATCGACACATGGAGTTGTTTTACATTTCTATTTTTTTATTTGAAGGTTGGTTGTTTAGTTTATTTTCATGTATAAACTGACAGACGTATTACAAATTTTTGCTCTTTCTATGTTCGTTAGTATGATCAGAATCGACAGCTGATCAGAGAGACACAAAACACAATAGACTCACAAAGTCGATCATAATATATTGATTAAATTGATCTTCTTTTTATTTTACAAAGTTAGATGTATATATATACGTATGAATAAATGATATTATCTATTGGATGAATCTGTAAAGTCATGTCAATCGTGACTTACATGAATAAATGAAGATTTTCCTTTACTCATATAGTCAATATATATATATATATATATTTTTTTTTTTTAAATTCCAATTGGTACATTGACCAAAGAAACCTTTTTTAATTTAATTCCTATTGTTCATTTAAATTCATCATAATAACACGTACTCTGACGTATGCCTCATTTGAATAATGGTAGTAATATATACCAGAAGAATAAACAATTTTAATAAAAACAAACTCTCTATTGTCTGTTCTATTAATGTAGGTACATGTCAATGTAATAGGCAAGAATAATTTAACTAGCAGACAGACTAATCACCGAAATCACAAATCAATATATATGATGAATGTCAAAATATTGAATAAGATACACTTTTTAAAATTTTTTACTCAATAAAATTGACACTTACGATGAATAGAAGATCCGTTAACTACACAGTTATCTAAATATTAAGATACACTCTCTATTTTTACAAAAAACACAATTTCCACAAAATATTACAATGTTATTTTTTAAAAAAAGAAAGAAATAATCATCATATTGCTAGCCGGTTTAAATACAAAGATAACGACTACTGTACCAGTTATTATTATTTCAATAGAATTAAAAAACAAATTTAAAAAATATTTTGAATTTAAAAAGAATTTAGAAAATTGTAAGATATCATCATAAGCAAACTGTGTAATACATTAGCTATTCTAATACTCTTTGTTATCGACTGTATGAAAATAAGAAATGTTTTAGAAACAAAAGATGCTTTCAAAACTATAATTAAGTAATCATTACATTTAGTGGTAAAAATCTTCATCACAAAATTAGTTCCATTCACTGAACAATATCAAATTAGATTTGATTGAACTATATTCGATTAGATTTGCATTTTCTGTCCGACTTACCTCTTAATACTAAAATAGTTTTATTGAACAATGTTCCAACCGATGGTAGCATTTCAACCACTTATAAGTAAATGACGTTATATTGTTCAAAAAAATTTTTTTTTTATTGTATATAATTAAGAATTGTTGTCGACGTGTAATAACACCAATAATACCACCAAAAATTTATACGTATTAATGTGATGTGTACTTCAAAGATTATTCACACTCATTTTACACAGACACTTTCTTTTTAAAATGACAGAGAAAATAGTATGTTATACAATGTTACATTATTGTCTTCTGTTTTGACTACAATAACATCATTTTCATGTTAAAAAATCTTATTTCTTTTAATATATCTCTAATATCAAACATTGGTAGGTATAATCATTAAAAAAAATCAGACCATTGTTTATCCATATTATTCTCCTTCAGAAAGTGAAAGAGAGAGAGAGAGAGAGACAAAAAAACTCTCTACCTATATTCTTTTTACTCTATTCTCTATTTTTACTCTTCTGTAAATGTGCTCTAATTACAAGTACATATGAACAATCCAAAAAACAGGCCAATGGTCAAGAAATGACTCGGATAGAATATTTACTACTAATATTAGGGAGGAGTATAGTTCATTATTCAAATTTCTTTTTTTCCTTCTATTCTCTTTTTTCTCAACAGAGTTAAAATAAAGAAAAATGTATCTAATATGCTTGTATATCTCTATGTATGTGTACATTGAATGATATGTGTACGTGAGGTGTATTTGTAAACGATTTAGAGGAGGTTCGTCTTATTGTGTATCTTGTCTTGTAGACGCAGTGATAATGATGAACAATGTCTCTTTTTTACGTACTTAGTATTCTTAAAAGTCACAACTCAATAAGTAATAGAGCATAAAGATGAAAGATTTATAAAACGAACAAATACTTGGGAAAAAGATGCCATGTCAAATGTAAAGAGTATCTAAATCGGATACTAAAAAATATGTTTTTTCTCAATAATAAATAATATTAAAATATAAAGATAAAGAAGATCCGTTTTTTATCTTAGTAGTATGATATGGTAGTCCAATGAGTAAAACTCTCATTTATAATCGGAAAAAAAAATCTATTTATTAAGGTAGAAATGTCAATCAGTTCATGAATTCTTGTTAAACGTTTAAATCTATTATACCATTTGGCAAATGTATCAATCACTACTGAAAAGATTAAATCTCTTTAGTATATAGTTCTATCAATTTTTTTTCTTCTTCTCATATAGCAAATCATTAAAGTTGACCATTGAGAATAGAAATGAATTCATTGT